TGAGTTACAACCCCATGATATGACTCATTTCACCAACAGTATTTGATCCATTCGGTCCAATAACATTGGAAAGTCTAGAAGAGCTGCATGATTGAATCATTTTGTCCCCATTCAAATTAGCAGAGCGCTAAACCAGAAGTAGCCGGTGGAAGTCTCTAGTGTGCCTGCTGTCTGGACCACACAGTGTGGAAGCAGTGCCGATCATCCAGGTAATTTCATAAGTGGCAGTTTAACTTTTTTGGCTTCATCCACCACTGAGCAACTCTCAGTTCATGTATTCAGTTCTCTTCATACATTCGTGTACACGACCCAGTCTGACATCGACTCTCGACTTCACCAATTACTCGAATAAATTCACTGAGTCTGTGGTGGATTTAATTTGTAAAACAACAGAAGCATCTGTACCCAGAAATACAGTTAAATCATTCCACATCCAGAAACCATGGATTACCAGAACCATCTGGGGTGTCATAAACACACGCAGCCAGTCTGGAAACATGGCCAATTATAAAGCAGCTGCCTATATTGTAAGAAGAGGCCGAAAATGGAACTAAATTACAATGCTCAAGGTGAAGGAGCCGACAGGATTGCATTTCGCTGGAGCTGTGGGCCTACATTGTATGACTGATTACAAACTAACCACAGTGGCTTTTTTAAAATGGTTTTGTCAGTGCGTGATGTGACGGCCCCTCGGCTTGCTTCCTCTGCTTGTGCTCAGTCCATGGCAGCAGACTTGATTGAGGTCAATCAGTGGCATGCGGCACACCTGGGCCCGGTGAGCTCCATGCACATATAAGACAGATCAGAATTCAGTTTGTGCTGGCAGGCCTCTTCGCTTTGTGTCTTTTATTTGCTTTTTCTTTGTTTTTACAGCACAACACCCTGAAACCACTGACTCCACAGATTTTTCCCATTTATTTGTGACTTGTTTTAGTTACTTTATTGGTTAATAAATCACTTTATTAGTTAGTTACCCTTGTGTCCTCCCTCTTCTTTGTCCAGCCTAGGAGCTTTGTACAGACTGTCATGACACCAGGGGTTTAAAATATTGCATTTTGTGAACTGTTTATGGTTTGAACTATTGTATAATGTCATATTACGCCATGCTGCAAAACAGAAATGTATTTGTGTGAATGTATTACAAATTATAACCTGTTAAACAAACTCTACTGGAGCAGAGTTTATGCAGTGAGATACAGAAACAGACTAAACTATATGAGGCAATTAGTTTCTGTTAGTTTTCGGTGTTTTATCTGGAGCCCATGCAGGAAGGAGCAGAGAATTCTGTGATTAAACAGAAATGAGCTCTCCCACTCACTGACGAGTGTGTGTAAGCGCCCCCAGTTGGAAACTAGCGCCAGGGGAGACACTCAGAGTAAACACTCGCTATCTGTCTCCGCTGTAGTTTTGGCTCACTACGGCGGGTATTCATCGGAGCTTAGCATGCTTCCTCACCTCCAACACAGACTTGTCAGTTCCACCTCCCACACTGTGAGATCAAGGTCACGCCCACAGGGATGGAACCAGTCACACCTGCCTATGATATCTCCAAAAATGTTTCCCATGAAACCCAAAGACTCTTATCCCATACCTCCATCCCATTTCACAACCATGGAGCCATTTTCCATTTGAATGACAGTTTGACCAGTGAAGCATCATCACTGCCTTTAGGCTTAAATTTCACTGAGGTGACTGCAGGTTGTAAATCCTGCATGTGACAGAGATCATTAAAAATCTGAATTCCTGTGGTATGTGTACACTGGTTGACGAACAGGTATCCAGATGTTGTATCTCGTCACAATCATGGGTCCATATATCTAACCTATTTTTAGATGTTCCCTCTGTTTTAGAGTGTAAGTCATCACAGCGTGTGGGCGCCTCTGTGCTTCCCCATTTTTCCACAAGGCCTTAATCTCTGTCACACGCTCACGCTCTTTCTTCAACTTTGCTCTGTATCCACAAGTGAGCACGTGATTCAGACAGTTAGAAAAAAAATGCATCTTTGGTCAGGGGTGAAGTGACATAAGTCTGTCTGGGAAAGAGGAGAGAGTGGAAGAGGTCAGAGGTTAAATGCTCATTCATAAACCTTGACCTACATCTGCCTGCTGATGTCACGATTTGGAAAGAATCCAGGCAAATATTTGAGCTCATACGAATTTAAAAATGCTTTTAAATACACCTTTAATGATCAAATGGTATGGACAGTGGTGCAAAGTAACTAAGTACATTTACTCTAGTTCTGTTTTGAGTTACTTCTAATTTACAGTACTTGTATATTTCCCTTTTCCACTGCTTTACTCTTCCACTTCACCTCATTTCAGGGACAAATATACCTTACAGATTAAGATCTTTGAAAGATACATATAATAAGTTTATAAAATACAACAGAACTAGTTGTTCCAAACCTTTAAAGCTTGTGGCCCCTTGCAAAAGTCACACCAAAGAGATGCTTCACCTCTAAACTTCTCAGATAACTTCATTTAATTTTAATGTCCCAGGCTCAAAAAAGAATGATCCAATATTTCGCAAATAAAATTTTATGCATACTTCTTTCCTTCCCCAATTATTCATCTCACGACACCTCAGATTCGTCCCCTGGCCCTTAACACGGGGCCTGATCCCGAGGATTTAAACAAAAGCAACTCATTTTTCAGAAAAGTACATTATCTTTTCTTAAAAATAACCTATAAACATTAACATTAAAGGATGTAATGGATTAGATATGAAATTCACAATGCTTAACACAAAACACACGGTACAAACCACTCTTCTTCTGACCCAGCTGTTGGCTGCATATGTGGAGAGGACCATCGTCCTAGAGGACTCACTTTCCCCCTTGCCAAAGTTCATAACCCCTTTAGCTCGCAGACTTATTCTATCAACCTGGAAACAGGCACAACCTACCACTTAAACTACGTTGATCAAAGATGTTATGTAACAAATTCAACTGGAAAATCTTAGAATCACTTAACGAGGCTCCATTGAGATATTCCATAAGACTTGGCAACCCCTCGCTGATCATGCAGACGAGAGACCTAGGCAATAAATCCCCTTAACTCTATGCTACAATTCAGTTCGATTCAGTTATAGACATTTGGCTCAATGTCACAAATCACAACTGGCCTCAGAGGGCTTTACAGAATACGACACTGCTCTGTCCTTGGAACCTCACAGAGGATAAGGAAAAACCCTTTGACGGGGAAAAAATGGAAGAAACGTCAGGCAGAGCGAATCACTACCCTAGGGCGGACAGACGTGCAACAGATGTGTACAGAGCAGATCAGCTCAATAACATTGCAGCATTGACAGTGTAACAAAATGATACATAGAGAGATGCACAGCAACAATGATGACAATAACAATCATAATAGAAATATGACTTACAATCATATATATGATAGTATCTGTATTATATATAGCCTACATATTAGAAGGAGAAGAAGAAGATATACGTCATCAATCCCTGAGGGGATTCATACACACAGGCCCGAAACACACACACAAGTACATGTACAAACAGGACCTATACATGCATTAATGGAGAGACGTCAGAGTGAGGGGGCTGCCTTGGACAGGCGCCCCGAGCAGTTGGGGGTTCAGTGCCTTCCTCAAGGGCACCTTGGCAGTGTCCAGGAGGTGAACTGGCACCTTTCAAGCTGCCAATCCACACTCCATACTTGGTCTGTACAGGGACTTCAACCAGTGATCCTCTGGTCCCAACCCAAGTCCCTAGGAACTAGGCTACTCCAGTCAATATTAGTATATGTTTGTAATAATAATAATCACGTGACCAAAAAATATATTTTTCTTTATTTCAAAAGTGAAACCATAAGCATTGTTTTTTTTAAATTTATTTTATTTTATTTATTTATTTTATTTTTATTTATTTATTTTGCAACATTCATTTGCATTTGTTCAAATTTGTCATTTCCAAAAGCTAAAAAACAGTTTTGACTAGGCTGCTGAAAATGTCTGGCCCATTTACATTTTCTGGTTTTGAAATCCGGCCCAATTAAATTCGTAATTAAACAGTCCTGCTGTAAGCTATATTTAATGTCTTTGTCCTTATTTTGTGTGTGTCCGTGTCTATAAATCCTGTCCTGTTGTCCTATTGTAATATTTTCTGTAATGTGTATTCATATTAACTGTTTGATAAATAAAATACCAATAAACAGACCACAAAAACAGCTAAAAAAACACTCCTCTTCTGTATTTTCCAGTATTTGTAATATCTTACATTTGCATTGTATTACAACACATTTACTCAGTTACAATTTTCCTGTACAGCACATTCAGTATTTTGACTCAATGTGTGCTCTTCAAGCATAAACACATGCTTGATGTGGACATGCATGTGTCATCCATTCCTCTGGCTATTTTTACTCTTTATAGGTAAAGAGTAACCCAGAGCCCAGACACCAGTATCCTGCCTCTCATTCTCAGACCGGTACACACTTTCATTGCTCACTGAGTCCCCTGGCGGCCAGACTGGGAACAGCAAGCTGAGACGCACAGCATAACGCAGTAAAAAGCCTGCTGTATGTCATAAATATGAGCTGGAATTAATACACAGCTGTAGGTTATGGAATATAATTTAATGTTTTATATGACTTTCAAATCCACTCATAACTGGGTTTGTGTTACCAGCCTCATGAATTAATTGCCCTACTTACTGTGGATCATACTAAAAATAAATCTGTATATTTTTAAGAAAATGACACTTGAAATAAAATTAAGACTATTTGACGAATAATTAAACTTTTATTAGACCGGAAACGACCAAGTCTTGGCTGCGGAGCGTGTATGAAATATTTGTCCGGTGATGGAAATTCAGCTCAGGAATGCATTTTTTCCCCTCTGTGTGTGCGTCTCGGATGTTCCTCTGACTGGCTGTGAGGTAAGGAAACTAGTCCGTCCCTCTCTCCTGCAGCCATCCCATTGGTCCAGGCGGGACCTCAGGAATGTCCTCTAACTGTTTAAATAGCACTGGTATCGGCAGGATAAGTCAGTAGAATAAATCTAAGCACCGGAATAAATCCCGGACAGGAGCTCAGAGAGACTTTGCGACCATCATCTACCCAAAGCGCATGAGCTGCTACAAGAGCTAAAGGAAGAGACACGGGATACATAATCGGACAAGCAAGGAGTTTTTTCTTAACTTATTTCAGAGGGATTTTTCATTTTAAAGGTTTGTACACTATTCTTATCATTATCTGTATTTATTTTTGACTGAATGTAGCCTGGATGTGTCCTGTAACAGTGTATGTGTTATTCCTGGTTGCATTATAGGGATCACTTCAGATTTCAACATGATGCTGTGCGGCATCTTTTTGCTGTTGATGCTTTGGAGCTGTGAAGGAGCAAGATTGGCAGGTGAGGATGGAAAAAAATTGTTAATAGTCTTTTTTACCTGTAAAATCTTTACTACTAGTTCCATATTTTAAGTTATCATCCTTACAGGGACTTTGACTGTAGCTGTGATACTCTCTTACTGTGATATTTTGATAATATTCCATAAGAAAGTTATATTTTTATAATGTTTTTGTTGTATTGTCACAGTAAATATAGCTTTTTACTTCTCGGGTTTCTTTGTTTTTCTGCATTTACACGCACACTGTCATTATGAGGGAAAAAAACTCAAGTCTTTTTTCTTTTCTTTGACCACAGAGAGTCGAGATGATAACAGTGTGTTTGACTTATTCGAGCTGGCCCGTGTAAACAAGAGACACCACGGTGTGAATTTGGTCAAAGGTGCAGATCCCTACAGCCCTGCATACAAGGTCCTGAACGCAGACCTGATCCCCCAAGTCCCTGACAGCGCCCTCAGGGACCTCCTCGACTCCATCCAGGCTGAGAGAGGCTTCCTCCTCCTGGTCAACCTGAAGCAGTTCAAGAAAACCAGGGGCAGCCTCCTGACCATCGAGAAGAACGACGGATCCGGACCCGTTTTTGAAATCATCTCCAACGGGAATGCCAACACTCTGGATGTGGTCTACTCCACCGAGAGCCAGCAGCAGGTCGTGTCCATAGAGGATGCCGGTTTGGCCACCGGGCACTGGAAGAACATCACGCTGTTTATTCAGGATGAACGGGTGCAGCTTTTCGTCGGCTGTGAGGAGATCAATATGTCAGACATGGAGTTGCCAATCCAGAAAGTGCTGTCCCAGGAGGTGGCTGACATCGCCAAGCTCAGGATTGGAAAGGGAGCTGTGAGGGACAGATTCATGGTAAGCTCACAGATATTTTGTGCTGACAGAGCAACTGGTGTAAGAAAATAAAGGTTTAACAGATGTAAGTGTCTCTTAACTGGAATTTATTGTCCTTCAGGGAGTGCTTCAGAATGTGCGCTTTGTCTTCGGGACCACTCTTGATGCCATACTGAGAAATAAGGGATGCCAGAGAGGAGGTAAGTCTGAGAAATAGATTGGTTTTCCTTAACTGTGTGGATCACATTCAAGTGCAAAATATGGAATACTACTTTGTGCTCCAGTGAGCAGATATTCATTTGTCTTCTCTCCTCTTTGCCCCACTGCAGCTACCTCAATGGATGTCATGACCCTGGACAACCCAATTAACGGCTCCAGCCCTGCTATTAGGACTGATTACACCGGCCACAAATCCAAAGGTGAGACCTCCCCTCCCTAATGAGACAACTTTGTGTCTCTGGTCAACTGTGATTTCAAAGAGGTGAAGTAACTTATTGGACTCTTCTCTCCTTTATGCAGATCTGCAGTCTGTGTGCGGCTTCTCTTGTGAGGACATCGCCGGTATGTTTAAGGAGCTCAAGGGACTCGGTGTGGTTGTTAAACAGCTGACGAATAATCTCCGCAAAGTGGTAAGCTCCAAGGGCCATCAGGGTCTGCTCCTTGTCATTATTCACTCCCTCTTTTCCTCTTGTCTCCGTCTTCCCCTCCGCTTCCAGTCATTCCCAGTGCATAGCCACTTGTCACTGTAATGGCAGTCCCCTGCCAAATCCTTAATGAGACCCATGTGAATACACAAATATGTTTGGCTGTCTGTTGCGTTTGCACTGCTTCACTAGAGTCAAGCAATGTCTTAATCATGGTGTCGGTCAGTGATTCATTTGTATTGGAACTTTGGCAAAGTGAAAGTTTTCCATCCTCCATCCTGAGCAGCTCTCTTTTTCTTTTTCTCTCTTTTTTCCCCCAGTCTGAGGACAACACACTGCTGATGAATCAAATGAACATCCACAGCGGGATCTGCATCCACAACGGCATTGTGCACAATGATAAAGATGAATGGACCGTGGATGGCTGCACTGAGTGCACCTGCCAGGTAAGTGTCGTCACACCTGCTGGAATGCAGCCTTAAAGCAAGTCAGGAATCGGCTCAGGAAAGACGTTGCCGTGTTTCCTGTATCCCCGCTGTAATGAAGTGATAATAGTGTTTATGTCAGCACCTCTCTGTCTAACCACATCATCTCTATCTGAAAGCCATCAACACTTCTTCTCAACTAGCAACAAAGCAGCATGGGGCCTTTTCCCCCACCAGCAACATCTAGTAAAGGTTATGTAATTAGTTAGGTGTTAGTGGGAGAGTGTTGGTGAGGATTATGCTTTTAATCAACACAGCAGGAGTGTTATGTCCCTGATAGAGATCACTCCATTGTGAAATGTAGCAATTAAGCTTGGAACAGCACCAGCAAAGCCTCTTTTTTTCTGTAGCCAGTCAACCAGTCAGCTCACTCATTATTCTTGTACTAATTCGACTGTTCCTCCATCCAGAACTCTGCTACAGTGTGTCGCAAAATCTCCTGCCCTCTGATCCCATGTACTAACGCCACCGTGCCCGATGGAGAGTGCTGCCCTCGCTGTGGACCACGTAAGATCCTCTTTAAATCTGCTTGTAAATTTTCTTTACTTCCTTCTTGATGTTGTCCCCCCAAGATAACGATCCCTCTTCCCCCCCTACAGCAAGCGACTATGCAGAGGACGGTTGGTCTGCCTGGTCTGACTGGACCCATTGTTCGGTGACTTGTGGTCGGGGCATCCAGCAGCGCGGACGCTCCTGTGACCGCATCAACAGCAACTGTGAGGGCACCTCTGTCCAGACCCGTGACTGCTACCCCCAGGAATGTGACAAACGCTGTAAGTCACTCAGCATTTTTGAGACAGCCATTGTGATCAGAAATATTCTCAGATTGAGAGCATGACGAATTAATTGTGTATGCGTTGCTCACAGTCAAACAGGATGGCGGTTGGAGCCACTGGTCTCCCTGGTCTTCATGCTCTGTGACTTGTGGTGAGGGGGTCATCACCCGGATACGCCTCTGCAACTCCCCCACACCCCAGATGGGTGGCAGGGACTGCCAGGGAGAAGGACGTCAAACCGAAATCTGCCAAAAGTCACCCTGTCCTAGTGAGTTGAATCTTATCAGCAAAGTATAGACAGTATGTTAGAGTGTATGAGTTCAAGGGAACATACTAAATGTTGTTTTTATGATACTTTTAAGTCAATGGAGGTTGGGGACCTTGGTCACCATGGGACACCTGTACTGTTACCTGTGGTGGAGGAGTCCAGACCCGCAAACGTCGCTGCTCTGACCCTGTCCCCAGATATGGAGGAAAGGACTGTGTTGGTGACGGTACTATGTCTCAAGTGTGCAACAAACAGGACTGCCCCATTGGTAAGCATTTGGGACTTAACATATATGGATAAAACAAGTCATTATTCACAACAGATTACCCTTTTAAGTGCCAATTCTTTTTCTCTACAGATGGTTGTCTCTCCAACCCATGCTTCCCTGGCGCCAAGTGCACGAGCTTCCCCGATGGCTCTTTCAGGTGCGGCAGGTGTCCACTTGGGTACACTGGGAACGGCATCACCTGCAAAGACATTGATGAGTGCAAGGAGGTTCCAGATGCTTGCCACACACATAACGGAGTCCATCGCTGTGAGAACACAGAACCTGGCTACAACTGCCTGCCCTGCCCTGCACGTTTCTCCGGTTCTCAGCCCTTTGGAAGAGGAGTGGAAATGGCAACTGCTAGAAAACAGGTTTGAGTTTTTTCTGACCCACTGTGCGTGTGGCTAGTAGGCTAGCTGCTTGCATTTTTATCAACTGTCTATAATTTTCTTTAGGTTTGCAAACCTCGCAACCCTTGCCAAGATGGTAGCCACGACTGTCATAAAAATGCAAACTGCATCTACTTGGGCGTCTTCTCCGAGTCCATGTTCCGCTGCGAGTGTAAGCCAGGGTATGCCGGCAATGGCCGAATCTGTGGAGAGGACAGTGACCTGGATGGATGGCCCAACACTGACCTCATTTGTGTGGAGAACGCCACCTACCACTGCAAGAAGGTAGCCAGACCCCACATTGACAGAAATCCAAAAGGCCATTATTACCCATCTGCAGCCTATTATTGTGATGATTGCCTCTTTAACCACCCCTTTGTTGCTTTACAGGATAACTGCCCCAGCCTTCCCAACTCTGGCCAGGAAGATCACGACAAAGATGGCCTGGGTGATGAATGTGACCATGATGATGACAACGATGGGATCCCCGATGATAGGGTGAGTCATCACAGCCGTTTATTTTAGCCCAAAGGAGTGCTTTCCTCAGAGACCAGACATAGCAATCAGCAGCAGCCATCCTTCCTTCGGGCAGTAGGAATGTAAAGTCTCCATGTGTGTGTGCTTTCACCAGAGAGTGGAAAACAAGTAGCATAGGATAAAGCCAGAATAGAGGACGAGGTGGCTTGTTGCCCATAATTCTTAGTGTGGATTTGGAAAGTTGGGCAAGAAAAATGCTGCGGTAAAAATTACCATCTCGCTTGCAGTGGAATATCACATTCCAGTGAACACTGGAGAAAAAACGAGCCATGAAAAGCAGAGTTTTATTCCTATAAATACCCTTACTGAGAGTAATGACCCATTTTAGTAATTTAATGGCGCTTTTGATATTTCTCTTGAAATTTAGGACAACTGTCCAAGAGTGTACAACCCTGCCCAGTATGACGCCGACAGAGATGATGTTGGCGACAGCTGTGACAACTGTATATTCGAGGCTAACACTGACCAAACTGACACTGACAACAATGGAGAGGGTGATGCCTGTGCTGTTGACATTGATGGCGATGGTAAGTGGTTTATTCAGATTACATCCAAGTTATCTTTAATGCATTTCCGCACCCTTGAAAAGCATTCGGACAGTCCTGAAGACTAAGATAAGCATGTTTGGACTCAACAGGTATTTTGAACGAGAACGACAACTGCCCATATGTTTACAATGTGGACCAGAGAGATACCGACAGAGACGGGGTGGGAGACCATTGTGACAACTGCCCACTGGAGCACAACCCTGATCAGGTAACATCAGATCACACCTTTTTAACATAGCCTTATCTGTCATGTAGCTATGAAGACGTCTCCTGTGGAACACAAATCGTACCTGCTCTAATAAAAAAGAGGAATGTGACAGCTTTGAGGAAAAAATGAGTGCCTCACTCTCTCTCTTTTCATCCACCTTTGGAACAAATATGAATGTGTAATTTTGCTGAAGTGCAGGGACACTGGACACTTGTCTGAAGGGACATTGCTTGCATACCTGAAAACAAGGGGCTACATTTAAATCAGTAGCACCTCTCATATTGAGGCTGGCGAGAAATAGTGAAGGGAGTTATTTGAAGTGAGGACAAGAGTCTTATAGAGCGAGTGGGAATTCTCACCATAAAGGAATTCGGTTCTCCTACAGATCGACTCTGACTCAGATCGCGTAGGAGACAAGTGCGACAACAACCAGGACATTGACGAGGACGGTCACCAGAACAACTTGGACAACTGCCCCTACATACCCAACGCCAACCAGGCAGACCATGACAAGGATGGCAAGGGTGACGCCTGCGACCATGACGATGACAACGACGGCATTCCTGATGACAAAGATAATTGTAGGCTGGCATTCAACCCTGATCAGCTGGACTCTGATGGTGAGTCTTTCTCTCAAGGTTGTGTCATATGTGGTCTTTGAAACAGTGGTGATTTGTCAGTTTATTGATTTCTGTCAGGTTTAGTTTTGGAGCTCCTTGTCCATCTTTGTGATCTCCATGTCTATGTTTTCCTTTCAGGTGATGGCCGTGGTGATGTGTGCAAAGATGATTTTGACCAAGACAATGTTCTGGACATCTACGACGTGTGCCCGGAGAACTTTGCCATCAGTGAAACAGACTTCCGCAGATTCCAAATGGTTCCTCTGGACCCCAAGGGCACCTCCCAGATTGACCCCAACTGGGTGGTCCGGCATCAGGGCAAGGAGTTGGTGCAGACCGTCAACTGCGACCCTGGCATTGCTGTTGGTAAGTAACAATCAGACAGGCATCTTGCTGCATGGACACAAAGTGGTAGCAAACTGTCTCTAAACCATCTCTTATCTTAATTCAGGTTTTGATGAGTTCAGCGCAGTGGATTTCAGTGGAACTTTCTTCATCAACACGGACAGAGACGATGACTATGCCGGATTCGTGTTCGGCTACCAGTCCAGCTCACGTTTCTACACAGTGATGTGGAAACAGATCACACAGACCTACTGGTCTCACACACCCACAAGAGCTCAGGGCTACTCTGGTCTGTCAATCAAAGTGGTTAACTCCACCACCGGTCCTGGTGAGCATCTGAGGAACGCCCTGTGGCACACCGGAGACACCCCCGGACAGGTGAGTTTTGTTGACTTAGAGATGTCATTCAGTGCTATGTTTGTAGCTTTTTTCACTTTAACCATCATAATTCATTGTTTATAGGTGCGCACTCTGTGGCACGACCCCAAGAACATCGGCTGGAAGGACTTCACCGCCTACAGATGGCATCTGACCCACAGACCCAAGAGTGGACTTATTAGGTGAGTTCAAAACCTCCAAAGCACTTAATGACAAATCTGCATAATTTGTATCAAAATGGCAAGAGCTCATGTGATTACATTTGATTTTTTAGAGTGGTCATGTATGAAGGCAAGAGAATCATGGCCGATTCTGGAAACATCTATGACAAGACATACGCTGGCGGGCGACTAGGCTTGTACGTCTTCTCTCAGGAGATGGTTTACTTCTCAGACCTTAAATACGAATGCAGAGGTAAGCACATGAGCAATGGTTTGATATTTCCAAAACAGAATGGTTTCACCACCTTAGACTTTATTTGTAACATGCTTTCTTTCTTAAATTTCTTTCAGATACATAATTTGACCACAGAGCCTTCCAGAAGGATGTCTGTCCATATGAATATATAATACGAGACCTGGATCGATATCTCTTAATTTTTTTTTCTTTTGAGAACTGCACATCGGAGGAATGACGAGCAAGTGAGCTAACATGAGGTAAACTGACCTCAGGACTTTAAGCCAAATGAAAGTTCAATGATGATTCTGCACCACTGCACCAAACTCAAATTGTGAGCGCAGCTCTGCTCAGAAGAAATTGGCCCCTCTCACTTAGTTGCTCTGACCTGCATTGAAGTGGGGGGCCACGTTTTTATTGCTTTGCACACCTGAACTGTTGGCAGGATTCCTCTGTGGAGGAGGGACCAAAGGGAAGAGTGTTCCATGTTTTTATTTTATAATTATTATTATTTTTGAGCATTAATATACATCTGCTGTGGACTCAAAGATGCTTGTTTCAGTATGAAGAAAGCAGTAGGAGAACTTTCTTAGGCCAGGGTCAATGTACCCCTTGAAGGAACTGTTGAGGGACCATGGACAGTATGGACTGACTGTTACTATCAAAGAGAGTGAATGTTGTTTGTGTGTTTGTGCATACGTGCCACCCAACAAGTATAGTTATGAAGACAACCACGTCAATTCTTAAGACAAAAATAATTCCTTTTAACCACCCCTCACCCTACTCTCACGCAGACCTGTCTGTACGAGGTCTCATATTTAGCCAACGCTTAGGGCTGGCCCAGAACATTCGTCTTCTCAGGAAAGAGCACTAGAAGAAACGAGGACAGCACAAAATTCAGGACAGCACAGGGCCCCGAAGCAGGTGCGCTGAACACTGCTTTGGAACAGTAATCATTAGCAAAGACTTTGTTAATATCTCTAATCTGTACTGAAAGTGTCAAGGGACGTAAACAGCGAGGGCCAGTCTATTTCCTGTCATGAGTTAACCATTCTAAGTATGGCTGTTTGTGTTTACTTTTTTACCATACAGGCTTTAACTCTCGCTCATCACATATTAAAATGTTGACAGCAATCTACTCCGATGAACTGAAATCAATACCCACTAATGGCAAGATACGGCATTACATTTGACCAAACCAGTGAAAAAAGTCAAAGATAGGCATCACTTACAGCATCTCTTAAATATTCTGCTTCTGCACAGTGTGCATGACGGGTGTGCCTGAGCTTGTGTGTACATTTCTGACAAGGGAAAATCAAAGGAAACCCTTCATGTACAAATATTACCTCATTAATTCTTTTTGTATTGAGGCCAGCAATACACAAGAATCACTTGTCTTAGCAACAGAGTATAAATTGGTTGGCTTCTTTTTTTTATTTAGCAAGACTTTAGTATCATTTATATGCTGTATATAAGATATTTTTCTAGAAGCCCAAACAGGAACGTAAAGGATTAAAGAAATGTTGTCTTGACTATGTTTTGCTATATGTATTTCCTGTGCATTTTTTTTTGGATAAATTATTATGTTTGTTCTATGTTGAGGTTATTTCATTTGTGTAGATATATGCTATTTAAATAATTTATCTAGAAGCGTAGCCTCATATGGAAGCGTTTCTGTCTGTATAAACTTATTTGCACACTGACATGAGGATGTCTTTGTTATTTTGGTTTTTGTATGTGTCTTTTTTTAATTATTAGTGAAGCTTTTCTATAAACTTTGTACTATAGTTTCTACCCAAAGTGCTGTTTATACTCCTACCTGGTATTTTGTAATGTCAAGTGAACAATAAACACTTAAGAAAAAAAACTACCCTGGTCGTTTGGTGTCTTTTTGGGCAAGCAAACAGTTAAATAGCCTCAGAACTTCTTTCTGAGTGATTTTTGGACTTCATATCTACTGTGATTGAGGTCTTCTCCCTAAAAAAGCAAAAGGAGCCGAGCCATGCTGTGTCAAGCAACTGGAATCCATTAGTTGAGTCTGGAGAAGCCTTGGAGAAAGGGAGTATCCTTGGGAGTCAACAGCAGGAAAACTCAACATGAAGTATAACCCACTTACACAGCTCATCCATACAGATCTGATTACACATTACACAGGCATTTCCTTACACCTTCAAAACGACGACACCACACGTGAGATTTAGACACGAGGAATTTTGCACTCTTGAGTGATGAATTCACTCTCTTTTGGGATGTAAACTTGCGGCTGTGGTCCGCTCTTGCCAGCTAGAATGTGCATTGAAATTCCACAGTTTTCATAAAAACGTCTCAATAAAACTTGTCAAAGTAGATGAAGTATCCACATGAGAGTGGGTCTGCAGCTTGCCGACTGCTACGCTGTTCAGACCTTGCCCCAGTATAACACCAGAAAACAGAATTCAGACTGCTCACTTAGATGTTTCACAGGGCCTGAAAGAGCTGTAATCTAAGGCACCAGTGAGGGTCGTGCCAGAAAACCCAGACAGTCTCAGTATGCCGCAGGTCTCTTTACATTAGAGGTGACCTCATTCTTACCACACTGAGCTCACTGTGTTTCCATTACCCCAGATGAGCGGCGGATCTTCCCTTCTGAAGTTGTATTGTGTCAATGACATGAATGGTGTTGTAAAACAGATTCATGCTGCATATGTATCTAGAAAATTATAACAAATCTATTAAATAATCTAGTGCGATCAGTCTATAAAGTGTTTGCGTGTGCTCTTTTGGACCCGTGCTGAGGTGTCTGTTAAGATCCCCGAACAGATAGCGCTGCACGTTTCACTGACAGCAGGGCTCTCGCTGGGGTTTGACCTTGGAGGCTCACCTGGCCGCTGAGTTGTCAGCCCAGAGGAATGTGAGATAAATCCTGCCATTAAGACGGGGTCAGAATGTGTGGGTGAGGTGAAGAGTGAGGCGAAAAGGCCCGTAGGTGTCCAGTGCTGGGTGAGAGGAAAGGCAGGACCTATTGGCTGAGGTCAGCCAGGTGCGGACTTGCTACTCACGCTGTGCAAGCAAGAGCAAATACAAGTCCTGTCAACAGGTCCACAAATCTCCCGAGCCAAAAAGCATAATAAGCTGACCATCTTTTTAAATGAAAATTAAGATGGAAAGAGGTCACAAGGGTCCAGTCTCAGAGGACCCTACTAATCTGATGCACTCTGAAGCAGATCACCTATAGAGGCAAGAATGACAGGAATGCTGAGGTGGATCTGAATATGAGTTTGCAGCACAAATCATCTCTCTGTCCTCTTCAACAGCAACACATAACTGACAGGGCTTAAAGAAAGATGGCCTTGTCATAAAACTGGATTTATGCAGCAGAAAGACGTAAATACATGACCAGAGAAAACAGGGGAAAAGGACTGTGGCTTTTGCTTTTGCTCAAGTGGTAGAAATTCTACAACAACCAAAATGCACTGCACCGCACAAGATTAACTAACACTAGTGGGTGGCATAATGCAAGCTTGTCCGTTTTGACACAAGAAACAATATGGCAGCCGGCTGCTAACGAGTGTTCTCGTATTACCGTTAAACAGTACACCAAAATATGTTTCTAACAACAGAATCTTGGTTCATAGTTGATCAGCGCTGCTTCATTTTACAGTTTGATCAGACTTTGGAGGGCGGTCACTCTCTCTCGACCCACTTCTATACTTTTTCGGTGCTTTCAGACCTAGAGTTGTCTTGCTTCGATCCGAATCAGGGACTAACTTTGTTACAAAGTTGCATAATTGCCTAGAGTTGGTTTGTGTTCTCACGGCAGCATTTACAAGTGGTCCAGATCAAATGACTTGTGTGAGAAAGCTGCTCTTGATTGGTCAGGATTTTAATGCGGGAAAAATGCAGGAAGTAAACCAAACATTGAAGAAGAGTACACGCAAGATAAATGTGACACTTTCTAATGTCACAATGGAGGGACAACTACGCAGGTTGATTTTAGCGCTGCTCATCGTGGACTATATTGCTGTCATTGTTCATTTTAGTCAAACCATACAGTTTGAAAACGAGGGACGGCTCCAACTAGAAAACAATGCTTTGATGCATTGGATGTGCTGAATGTGCCTATTAAGGCAGTACAGGAGGAGGTGCACATTAATAGTCCTCCAGGACTATAACATGCTCATGTTTAACCCAAACAATGTGTCATGTGACTGCAGTTGGTTTGGATCGAAGATGGAGCACGTTCTCATCACCATTCTTCGTTTGTAGTCGGACTGAGACCACCTCTTCAAGAACGTCTCCATGCGCAACCGAGTGCAATTGCTGTGTTCACACCTGCCCAAATGAACCACACTTAGGGGGCAGGCGAACCTGAGTTCGATTGAACCGAACCAAACAGGGCAGATGTGAAAGCACCCTTTGTGTTCGTGGTGCGGAAGTACAATCTGTAGTTTGAACAACAGCCCAAGAACCGGCGACAATCCTAAACATTTGGGCCCAGGCAAAAAAGTTTGCCACATTCTATCCACACATACTGCCCACCTTGTTATGATACAAAGCTGGTTGAAAATCAGCACAGTATCTCTTTAAAGTAAATACAATATAGTGTTCAGAATCCACCCAGCAGCCCCGCTGCTATCAGCTCAGTGTTTATGTGTGCAATAGAACATTCTGCGGCCACCGTACCCGGTTATTAGATTTAATGACAGCAATTTTCTGTTCTCATTTATGATACTCGGGTTAATACAAAGGGTGGCCCTGCTGCTCTGTTTCCTCATGCAGGGCTATAAACACAAATAAAAACAATGGGACACAATCTGGCTGCATATTGAAAACACAGACACCAATTAGGTTAAAAAATTCCCTTCCTCAGGTGCCAAATAACCAAAAGTTAGAACTTTATTTTTTCAATACTGATACATGGTGGACGATGCACATATAAAAGACAGTTTAGTTACATCTACATAAATCGAAAAGCTTTACAGTGTCCTAAATAATCACGAGGAGTTTGTGAGTTTAAAATGTCTATTGTGAAAGTGACAAATTCTGGTCATAAAGTATGTTTAGGTTCCAGTTAGTTTCTCTTACAGCCCCCTATGAACCTGATAGATACATCCCGGCAATGATGCATCCTAATAGACTCTCTGATAACAGGGCTTCAGATGGGTCAGGGTCATCTCAGTCATTTTGAGGGTCTTGTGGCGCTGTCAATCATCTCAAGATATTGGGTGCCACTCTCTGTGAGCTTGCATTCCTCCAACAGACGAAGTAACTGCTCCTCAGTGAGATCTGGTGACTCGTTCTGCAGGACGACACAAACATAATGCATGTATGACTTTAAAAGTTGTATGATTTTTAGGCGATGGGGTTACATAAAAACATAGTCAATGATAATGTGCATACAGTCGACCTCTGGCAGCATCGAGGTTACATGTCCCAATTATTACAGAGGCGATGACAGAATATTTTTCATCCTAACTGCTTTTGTCCTCCTAACACCCTCCCTAAACGTGTTCCTATTACAAAGATCCATTACTGGGCTTAAACCTGTACTCATGACTAATCCAGACAATTTGTTGTATTAATGCATGACCTGTGATAACAGTGGCAGTTCATAATAATATAACTGTGCTCCTCCCCCTGTGCCTAGTTGGAAGCCGTCCGGGACAAACACTTCCAGTTGGATATAAGTGTTGTTTTTCTACTGATAAGTCAGACTCCTCACATGCAGCCTTCTGGGAGTGCATGTGAGTTCAAGGAGAAACGCCAGCCTTTTAAAAGTAGGTTACGAGGGAAAGGGTTCAGAATTTGAATAAACGTCTGTATCTATTCACAGGATTGATGCGTCACCTGGCAGCTGTTATTTCTGATTCCAAATTGGCTGTGTAAACTTTTAATTCCTCTATCATAATAATAAAGCGTGACATGATTAATTTACCTACGCATGACGGATCACAGACAGTTGCCATTTCTTGATGTGAGAATGCTGTACTTTGTTTAGACAGCTGCAACCCGACAGTCAATTTCTTCCAGTAATATCAAGTCATTACCGTTTCATGACACCAGCATTATGCCAGAGAGGTGTCCAGGAGAGCCAGACCTTAAATATCTGAGTGGAATAGTAATCACTGTCACTGTTGTCCAAGCATGTGCACTCCTGTTTCTTGCTGTCATCCCACGCTGAACAGAATGTCCCTGGCTTTAACGAAGGGATGACCTGGTCTAGTTATTCTGTCCCCGATCCTGATGCGATGGCATTGTTTAAGCGTTTTGGCTATTTGGGGGCAGCGGAACCAGCTGTTGAAATCGAAATATCATTGAAATATCATTACTTCATCAAGCTAAAATACTATAAGCAAACACGTTTAGCTCTCTTTTGGTCTCCATCAACTCCTGAGGGAAGTATCTGGCCTTTTAGCTGCTCCAACCTTGTGTGTCAACTGTTTGTCTCTGGGCAGTGATGGGTCGCCACATGGAAACTGTTCAGATTAGACACTGGAATTTTTAGGTTTTTGAGTAGAACCAAATGTAGGATTGTGTTTTATAACATGAAGAATATGTTAGACCTGCAATAAAACAGACTGTGCAAGCTCAGGCACTTTCTAAACCCACTATATGCAGACATATGTGATGGGGTGTTATGTGATGGGATGCAAAGATGCTTAACATGCAGCAAGATGAAAAAAATCTGATTTTATGAGACATTTGAAAAGTACATACATTCACTCCCTTTATTAGTTACACCTGTTCAACTGCTCAATAATGCAAATAGCTAATCAGCCAATCACGTGGCAGCAATTCAATGCATTTAGGCATGCAGACATGGTCAAGACTGAGCATCAGAATGAGGTAGAAAGGTGATTTCAGTAACTTTAAACACGGCATGGTTGTTGGTGCCTGATCTACTGGGATTTTCACCACAACCATCTCTAGGGTTTACAGAGGATGGTCTGAAGAAGAGAAAATATCCAGTGAGTTTTGAAGCCAGAGGTCAGAGGAGAATGGCCAGACTGGTTCAAGATGATAGAAAGGCAACAGTAGCTCAATAACCACTGGTTACAACCAAGGTCTGCAGAAGACCATCTCTGAACCAACAACACGCTGAACCTTTAAGCAGATGGGCCACAGCAGCAGAAGACCACACCAGGTGCCACTCCTGTCAGCTAACAACAGGAAACTGAGGCTACAATTCACACAGGCTCACCAAAACTGGACAATAGAAGAAGCCATCTTCTGATGGCTACTTCCAGCAGGATAACGCACCATGTCACAAAGCTCAAATCATCTCAAACTGGTTTCTTGAATATGACAGTGAGTTCACTGTACTCCAATGGCCTCCACAGTCACCAGATCTCAATCCAATAGAGCACCTTTGGGATGTGGTGGAAGGGGAGATTCACATCATGGATGTGCAGCCGACAAATCTGCAGGAACTGTGTGATGCTATCATGTCAATATGGACCAAAATCTCTGAGGAATGTTTCCAGCACCTTGTTGAATCTATGCCACCAAGAATTAAAGGGATACTGCACCCAAAAATGAAAATTCAGCCATTATCTACTCACCAATATGCCGACGGAGGCCCTGGTGAAGTTTTAGAGTCCTCACATCCCTTGCGGAGATCGGCGGGGGGAGCAGCTAGCACACCTTATGGCTGATGGCGCCCCAGACTAACATCCAAGAACACAAAATTGAAACCACAAAATATCTCCAACATGCTCATCCGTAGTGATCCAGGTGTGCTGCAGCCCCGACATAAAAGGTTGTTTTATGTGACTACAGGCTACAGTGAGGCTAAAAACAAATGACGTTTTTCGAAACAACTTTTTATGTCGCGGCTGCAGCACACTTGGATCACTACAGATGAGCATGTTGGAGATATTATGTGGTTTCAATTTTGTGTTCTTGGATGTTAGTCTGGGGCGCCGTCAGCCATTAGGTGCGCTAGCCGTTCCCCCTGCCGATCTCCGCAAGGGATGTGAGGACTCTAAATCTTCACCAGAGCCTCCGTTGGCATATGGGTGAGTAGATAATGGCTGAATTTTCATTTTTGGGTGCACTATCCCTTTAAGGCAGGTCTGAAGGCAAAATGGGGTCCAACCTGGTACTAGCAAGGTGTACCTATTAAAGTACAATATTTATTGACCGTTTGTTCACATGAATGTGAGAGATGGTCAAACTTTTAAAAATGTAAAAACTGTAGTTTTATTATTCAAATTTATTTAACTCCATGCTAATAAGTACACTTCAAGTAGTGTCTTCAGACACTGAAAGAAAAATTGACAGTTTTATATTGCCTCGTTTTTCTCTTTAGATGTTGGGGACACAAACCTTGCAGCGCTCATGGAATGACTCTGGGTACAGAGTGTTTGTCAGGGACTTTTTGCTGAAAACAGCTGCCTGCTGCGGCTGTGCTAAGTTAGCATAGCACAAAGACACTGGCTTGCTTTGCAACAAGACACAACGTGCTAATCAGGTTTACCGGTTTCCAGACTCAATGCTAAACTAAGTTAAGTGGCTGATGGCTTTAGCTTCATACTGTAGCGGTGCAAGACAGCGAACATGCATATTTCCCAACATGTCAAATGACAAATTTATATATACAAGTATTCATTATTGCAGTTTTGAGATCCACAGACAGAAATTCAAATGCAACTTTAATAATAACCTTTATATTTGGGTGTTGGAAAAAATACAGCTGGCACCACAGTGTGACGCATCTGTCCTGAGACACAGCAAATTTTGTGCTCATGTAGCTGTTTTCCCCCTTTTACCCACATCCCGCTGAGTCACTCAGGACAAAATCACATTCCTGTGTCTCATCTATCCCCACTAGCTGAATCTAATACTCTTCATCGATCATTTGTATTCCTCCTCTTACCAGCCCAGCCTTTGAAACTCTCCAGCATCTCACCAGGACCCCGCTGCTGATGGACATCTTTCAGAAAAATCTAGTCCATGTTCAAAGTCCTTCAGAATGTAATGACACCCTTCAGGTCATGGCAGGTTGGGCCATGTTACACATTTATGACCCCTTCAATTACACATTACACAGACGCTGCAAATCCTCTCCGTCCAACGGACAGGAGACCACAGGCACCACTGACACATTCCAGCCTCTGTGCCCCCTGCAGCACTGCATGTTTCTCTTTTGACATGCATGTAGCAAGACATGCCGCTGGACTTGACCTTCACCTCTAAATGAAAAAGCAGAATAACAGAGTCCTATGTCCAAATTGTGCATGCACAAAACCATATATACTTGTACCAAGTTGATGTCTCAGCATTTTGGATACACTTTGCTTCCCTTCTGTGTTTATCCTACATCTTAATAGGTGTAAATGACATCACACTCCAAGAATAAATGATTTGCTTGGAACTGTAACATTTGCACAAACATAAGTGAGCCATAACAGCAACTTGAGACATGTGGCACAAAAAAAAAAGTCACGTCAATTACAGGCATGTCAGCGTTTGAGTGTCGTGAATGGGGCAATAAAAAAGTGCCCCACTGGCTGGAGTACTAATGGCCAGAAATGCCTTTAACCAGTACCAGCCGGACATATGCGGAATACAAGTTAGACTTTCCGACAGAGAGGAGGGAAAAAGAGATGGGGGAAAGTGTATTTTTTACTGCCGTGACAAAATGCTGTGACTCTTTGAAAGCGGTTGACCTCAGGTGCCCTTAATACCAGGGAGGCCAAGAGTGTCTGTGGGTGACTGATATGTGTTTTCCTGTCTGTCTAGTCTCTAAAAAGCCAGTTAAAGAAAACTATTACAGCCAGCTCAGCTCTTTACAGTCCCAGTTTTAGCTTCACGGCAGACGCCATATTCATTTCAGTTACCAGCAGAGTAAAGAGCTGCGAACACAGAAAAGCTGTCCAAAGAAAACACAATATGTTTGATTGAGGTGGTTCCAGAGAATAACCCGCTTCCACTGATTTATCACCGAGACAGGAACAACAATGTCGAGCCTGGTTGGAAGTTGTCAACACAGCATTATCATCAGACTGATTCCACGAGGAAACGGATGAATAGAGCAGCAGGAGCTAAAAGTTTTATCAGAACTAAACAAGCTTCTGTTTTCAAGCTGCCATGAGTGGCTTTTGTGAGAGCAAACACACTGCGAGAGAAGATCTAAATACATACATAAAGATAAGTATTTTTTCTTGGCGACCGTTGCCGAGTCAAAGGAAGTGCGCAGCTGTGTGAGCTGATACACTCGAGGCTGGTTTTGGAGTTATTCCCAAAACATACATCCTCTGGCATAAACATGTGAAATCCAAGCTGGACAATCTATGG